AAATTAAATATTGCTATTTATGTCATAAATATAATCATAATATAGATTCTTGTTTTTTTAATAAGATTCAATAAAAAAATTAATTAATAATAAAATCATATATTTATTTATTTATTTATGTAATACATATTAATAATGAATGAAAAAAATTAATAATAAAACATCATGATCATTTTTGATTATCCTAATATAGTAATTTTAATTCTTATCATAAAACTAATCAAATCTTATATATATATTCTTATATGAAAAATAACTTTAAAAAGAGTCATAATTTTCCTTATGCATATTATCATTAACAAAATGATCATATTATTCTTGAACATAAAAAAACAAAAACTAAAAAATGTTTGAATTTAATTTTAATCAACATCATCAACAATTTATCAATAATATTAATGAAACTCATAGTGTTTTTAATGATTCTTTAGCTCTTATTCAACATTATGAAGCAGTGATTTCTACTTATAAAACACATAATCATTATTTAGTAAATCTATATAATAAAGCTTATGAATATTTTGGCATATCTTGGAAAGTTTTTGTTGAAAATAATAAAGATTATGATTATTTTAAAAGAGAAGTAATCAATCATAATTCAGAAGAAGGTGAAGAATGAGTTGAAATTAAGAAAAAAATTGAAGAAAATGTTAAGAAAAACTTAAACTTCAATAGACAAACTATTATTTCAATAAGTAATGATGATGATAGTGCATGTAGTTGTATCGAATATAGAGGTAGTTGTGAGGATTGTTTCATTAAAAAGTTTAAATCTAAATATAATTCAGAAGATAATTTTGATTATGATAATTATAATGAAGTTTATCATAATGTATTTAATAATGAAAGGAAAGAACATAATAAAAATTATCATATTGCCAATATAAATAATTTTAATTATGAAAGTAATGATGATGGGCATGAAGGTTTTTTACAAAAGAGAGAATATGATAGTTACGAAAGTTATTTAGCAGACAAAAATGCCAAAAATTTTGAATATTACATGTCACAATATAAATAATTTATATATGTTATTTTTTTTAACTTATTTATAAATAATTTTATATTTTATTAGTCTATAATAAATAAATGTGTTAATCGATAAATAAATATTTTTTATTGAGAAAAACTTTATTTTTTTTTTGGTTATAAATTTATAAATACAAGTTAAATAAATCTAAATTAATCCTTATTTATAATTTTTATTATTATAAATAAAACAATTGGTTCTTTGATTCCTTGTGTGTTAAACAAACAAGACTGTTTACCATTCAAGAAAGCAAATACACCAATTGTTTAAATAAGTGTTTTATTGTTCTTTAGTTAAAAAACAATCTGATATTGTTTGTTTATTGTATAAAAGTTTTATCAAATATTGTATGCATGAACTTTAATTTAATAGAGTTTTAGAGTTCTATAAAATCTTAACAAAATGTTTTTAATGTTCTTTATGATTTATTTATTTTAAAGCAAAAATTCAAACATACAATCAAATTTTTAAACAAAACTTTAAATTTAAACAAAATGATTCATCAAACTTTCTACACTTCTCTTGTATTTATTTGCATCTTCAGACTGTTTCTTACAAATCTTTTTTATAGTAAATACCACGAATGTATTTATCAGTATGTTATTAAAATTATTTATTTCAAAATATTCTTTTGGATTTCAGTAGTTGCTATTAATATAGTAACTATTATAATTATTATTGCTCTATATCAATTTTGGTTCTGGAATTATTTACTTGAACAATTTTCAGAATGATTTATTTCTTAATTATTAATTAGCAATCATATAATTATTGTTAAGAAGTTTTTCTTGGCAATATGTATTGATTTTATTTAATACTTAAAACATAATAAAATTTTAGTTTTTATTGCACAATCTTCTTCAACCAACAAGCCAACAAGTATAAAGTTATCAATATACAGAAGAATTTACAAATCTTCTAACTTGATAAATTATCAAAGCAACATATTAAAACATGTTGATAGACCTAATAAACTGGTCAAAAGACCTCTTGAATGTCTTTATTTATAGTTTAATTTAATTATTTTATCTTCATTTGGAATTTGACACTTTAGAATATTTTATTATTTTATTTAATTATTTGTTTAGGATTGAATTAGAATGATTTGTAAAGAATTAGAAGTTAAAAATTTATTTAGATTAAGATTTTATTACAAATATTTATATAGATTAATTTAATATAATAGATAATTTTTAGTGTATTTCTCTAAATCACTCCATGCTCACAAGTATTTTATATTATATTTTTTACATTTATTATTTACAATTTCAAAACAATAATGTATTAATTTATCATATTCTTTTGTTCATAAATTTAATAGACCCATACTATTATTCATTAAATAGTATTTTAAACTTTTTCCCCAATTGTTAAAATGTGTACGTATATGAAATTCAGCATATGATAAATGTTGAATTAATGCTTTTTCTTTTGTGTCATAATTAATATATAAATTACATGTGATTATATTATTTTCAATTAAATATTCTTTGAATAATTCATAATCTGTAAATATTTTATAATCACTAATTTTTAAAACTTTAATTTCGATTTCTTTTTTGAATTGTTCATCTTCTTCAGTTGTTAGTAAGAGATTTATTAAAATTTCTTTATTGATGACTGACGAAGTTAAGCAATTCCATTCATAGAAATTTTCATTAGTAATTTCATTAGATACACATTTGAATATTTTTAGGATTTTTTTTAAAAAATACATTTTGTAAAATTTTTATCAAAAATGTTACATAAAAAAACTTGTATAAATAAAGTTTTCTTATTAAAATTTAATATTTCCAAATAAAGAAAATCTTTAAATTTAAAAATTTTTAATAAGAATTAGAATGTTCTAAGATTTTTTGAACAAAAATATTTATTTTTAAATAAAAGACAAATAGAATATAATCTTTTAATATTTATATTTTAATTTTGATAAATTTAGTAATATTTTTGTAAAGACACCAATCATTTTTATAGATTTTTTAAAGTTTTTAATTAATACTTTTATTGGTTAGAATTTAATAATAATGAAAAAGTATAAAAACAGTATTACAATAATATTACAATAACATAATATTTAAGATAAATAAAAAATAAATAATTCAGAATATTCTCTTCAGTTGAATCTTTTTCTTGAAAAGTAATTAAATTTAATAAGTTATTTATGTTTTTATTAAAAAAATATATTAATATTTGTTTATTATAGTATGTCAACAATTGCAGGTGTTCTAAGTTTTATAGAAGATAAGAAAAACAGTAATGTACAAGGTTTTCAAAATACTAATTTTTTGATAAAAGTTGAAAAATTCGAAAACTAAGATATTTAAGCAAAAATGTTTTTCCTTGATGGTGATCCAATAGTAAAACTTTTTGTCATTCCTGAAGATATTGAAGTTAAAGAAATCAATAAAGTTACTAATAAGACTAAACCAATATGATCTTTTTTTAGAAGTAATTATTTTATGATTAATTATTTTAAAAAATATGAAGTTTTTTACAAAGAAAAAAAAATTTTGTGCATTGATTCCTGAACAGAAAAAATATACTATTCATAATTTTGATAAACCAGATAATTTAAAAGATTATGAAGTTCAAAAATGAATTACTAAAGCAATTAAAACCATTATTAAATTAGAATAGTAAAATTTATTTATTTAAAAATATATATTATATGTAAAAAATTACAAATTATTATATTGAATTTTTTGTTTGTATTTTTTATTTTGATATTCTTTTTTTCTTCTTTTTCTTTCTTATTTTAAGGTTTTTAGTTCTTCTTCTGCTTTTTTTCTTTTTCTTTTATTAATAAAATTATTATTATTTATTATTATTGTTATTGTTTTTTAAATATTCATACTTTTTTTTAATTCGAAAATTTGATCATCATAATTAGCAAGTTCAAGTTTTACATCTTCAATTGAATGTTTTAGAATTAGAGGTCTTGTGTGTAAAGAGGAAGAAGCAATGTTTTCATGTTCTTGGGTTTCTTGTTGTTCTTGTTGATTTTGAGAAGACATTTTTTAATAAAGAAAAAATAAATTTCATCGCTTTTTAATATTAAAAAAATTATTAAAAAACTTTTATAATTATTGATGATGATATAAAAATAATTAATATTTTTAAAGTCATTGATTGATATCATAGTATTGAGTTAAATTTATTATAGTGATTTTGTGATATTTCATAATTTTTTTATTTTTTTTTTGAAAAATTTTTTTTATTTTTTTTAAACAAATATAAATTAAATATTAAAATTTAAAGTACTCAGATTACAAAATATAATTTGTTAATTATAGTTTTAAAATACTTATATAAAATTAAAATACTTAAGTATTTTCAAAATATAAAAATTTAAAGTATTTAGATGATGACTGTTATTTTCTGGTTATAGATTAAAAAAACTTGTATAAAATCAATAAACTCAAATTTTTGCAAAAGTAACTCACACATAATGGCTGTAATTTGCTAGTTATGGATTGAAAAAACTCATATAAAATCAATAAACTCAAATTTTTGCAAAAGTAACTCATATATGATGACTGTGATTTACTGATTATGGATTGAAAAAACTCGTATAAAATCAATAAACTCAAATTTTTGCAAAAGTAACTCACATATAATAAATGTAAACATTGTACAATAATAATTAATTATAAGATAAAATGTTTATGATGTTATTTTTATTTTTTTAATTAAAAATGAAAAAATAAATTCTTATAAGATATATAATTTTTTTACAGATATTGAAAATAGAGTAATTGAATGTAGTATTTGTAAAAGAAAATATAAAAATCCTATTCTTGAAATGATAAAAAATCATTTTATAAAAAAACATAATAATGAATAGTTAGAAATAAGAGTATTAATAGTTATTTCTGCATGATCAAAAAGAAAAATAAAAAATTCTATTTGAATATAATAGTATATTTTTCATTAGTTTTAAATTGAATACTATTAATATTAAATTCAGTTACATTATTTAAATTAATACTATCGATTTTTTGTTTTTTGTTATATGTTTTTTTATCTTCATTAGTTTTTAAAGAAATATTATTTGTTTGAATTATTTGTTCTTTATTGATAATTTTCATTGTTTCTTCTTTAGTTAAATATTCATATTCACTTTTATTTTGAACAGTTGTATGAAATCTTTTATTATTATATGATTGAATTTCTTGAATATTATTTTAAGTAGTAACAAAATTTGAGTTTTCTTTTCATTGAATAAAATTAATTTTTTTAATATTTTCAATTCTTTCTTTTTGTTTTTCTAAAATTTGTTGATATTCATTTTTATGATGTTTTGAATAATGAGTTTTTAAGTTACTAACTTGAACTTTAATATCATAAGAAGCATTACAGATATTACATTTAAGTTTAGTTTTTTCAATATTAGGATAAAAATGATTTTGAATTTTATGTGTGTTTCTTATTTTGTTTGTTAAATTTTTTTTAATAAATATCTAGTTCTTAAATAATAAAGATTTTTGTAGTTATTACATATTTTAAAATATAAATAAACATTGTTATCAGTTTATCTATTTATAAAAAAAAGAATAAAAAATAAATTAATTTATTTGAAAAAATATAAATATCTATTTTATATGTGTTATTTTATTTTTTATATATTATAAATAAAATAAAAATCAAAACAACTTATACAAAAAAAAATATGTAATAATTGTTGTGAATGTAATAAAAAATGTATTTATGAAGATGATTATAATACATGTATAAATTGTAAAAAGCATGATTTTTTGTGTATACATTATAAGCCAGCTAAGGCAAATCTTGAAATCACAAGACTTACACAAGAATTAAAAAAACATCTAATTTAAATTGAAAATTTAGAAGTACATGTTTCACGATTAGAACATAATTACCACATGATCAAAACAAATCTTAAACAATGTCAATTATTAGATATTCAACTTGAACATTTATTAACTTAATTTATTAATTAATATTAAATATATTTTAACTATAATTAAATA